AAAGAAAAGAAAAGAAAAGAAAAGAAAAGAAAAGAAAAGAAAAGAAAAGAAAAGAAAAGAAAAGAAAAGAAAAGAAAAGAAAAGAAAAGAAAAGAAAAGAAAAGAAAAGAAAAGAAAAGAAAAGAAAAGATATTTGTAATTTCATCTAGGAAGACTCTTAGACACCGACTGAGCTCTCGACTCTCGACTACAACTTGTGAACATTAACTAATATTAATTAAGAGATTGCTCAAGCTAACTCGATTCGATATTTCTGTCCTGTTTTATTGAATCAATAAAATAAAAATCATGTCAATCGGTCGCTCCGTTTCGAAATAAAAGTAGACACAAACAAAGAAATAAAAAGGCAACAGACACAGTTTCGCATTTAAATAGTTATTAGTATTCCTGGATAGGTAATTTTCGTAGATAATGGACCGCGGGCAATCATATTTTAACAAGTTTTTATTAAATAACCCGATTTGTGCATTCCTGTATCAATTGGCTGGTTCATAGAATACTTGTTATTACTTGTTGAGTACGATTGAGCGTCGAATGAGATAAACGAGTTTATGCATGTTTGTCTTAATCCTGTCGGTGCGTGCTGCTTATGCAATCCTTTGTAAACAACATAATATTAATTTTATTTTCATTTGCTGTTTCGCGCGTAATAGATAAACAGTACTTAATATTCAACACTTACTTACGTATTTCTCAAAACAAAACCCACAAACCCATCGTCGCCTTTGTGCCTTCTATGTCTAAAAATATTTTCGAATGAAGCAATGAAGCCTTCAAGACTGCAAGATCATTTGAATAAAACGCATCCAGATAAGAAAGACAAGAATGTAGCATATTTTCAACACCTAGAGAAGAAGCACAATACTCAGCCAAGTGTAGCAAAACTCTTTTCAGCGGCTGCTATGCAAGATGACGACGGACTTCGAGCTTCGTACAATATATTTTTGTTAATTGCTCAAAAAGGCAAACCACACAACATAGGAGAAGAGTCAATTTTGCCAGCAATAAAGGAAGTAATAACTACTGCGCTTCATAAACCGGCCGCAGATATTATCCGAAAAATTCCTTTGAGTAATAATTCTGTGCAAAAACGAATTGATCAAATGGCTGAAAACATTGAAGAATCATTGTCGCTCATCTGAGGACTAGTCAATTCTCAGTAGTTAATTCAGCTCGATGAGTCCACTTTACCAACTAATGAAGCATTGTTGCTGTCTTACGTGAGGTTTATTAAGGATGAGAAAATATGTGAAGAACTATTGTTTGCTAGAAATTTAGAGACCGGTACAAAAGGCGAAACCATATTCAATACATTGGAAAAGTTTTGTGGTGAGAAAGAGATTCCCTTGAAAAATATTATATCAGTTGCTACGGATGGCGCTCCGGCTATGATAGGGTGCCATAAAGGCTTTATAGCGTACTTAAAAAATAAAATTCCGGAAGTCCTTGCTGTACAATGCGTTATTCATAGACTACATTTGGTTGCTAGAAATTTAAGTGAACGACTATTTCAATCACTGCAATATGTCATCAAAGCAGTCATAAAATCCGTAACAGCTTTTTGAATGATAGATAATTTCATCAGCTTTGTGTTACTAATGACGAAGATTTCAACCGTTTGTTCTTTCATACTGAAGTTCGTTGGCTATCAAGAGGCAATTGTCTGACTCGATTTTACAACCTATTTGACTCTGTGATAGAGTTCTTGGAAACTAAAGATACAGAATTGCGTGACAAGCTCATTACATCAAAGAATGATATAGCTTACATGACAGCCCTGTATAAATTCCTCAAAGACATGAATCTCCAACTGCAAGGCGATGACATAAATTTAATTAAAACAAAAAATGTCGTTGCTGCTTTCGCAGCTAAACTGCTTCTACACAAAAAGAATGTGGGCAGACGTGAGTTTCTCAATTTTCCGAATTTATCAGTATCCTGCAGTAACGACCACTTGTTTGTCTACTGCCAACATTTGGAAAACCTCCACATTGACTTCACCGAACGATACCAGGATATTTTGAACTTGGAAATACCAGTCTGGGTGTTGGATGCGTTTTCAAATGTCAACACAGCAATATCACCTCAGCTGGAAGAATAACTTATAGAATTGACAACGAACGAGGAAATAAAAATCAAGTTCAGAAATGGCTACCAAGAATTTTGGCTACAAAACCGATCCCGCAATTGTACCCTGGATTGTGGCCATACGTTCAACGATTCTTGACAGCATTCCCATCGTCATATTTGTGTGAATGTAGTTTTAGTGCTGTGACAACGCTGCTTACTAAAAAGAGAAATCGTTTGCACGTTACCGAACGTGATGTCTTGTGGCTGTTCTTGAATAAATTGGAACCTGTTATCAACAAACTTATTAAACAGCATCAGAATCATCCTTCACATTAATTTTTATACTAGAATCGATTATGTTTGTTTTATTTTGAATAAAAGATACTCTGTCTGAATACTATAAAGTTGCGTTTCAATAATCATTCTCATTGGCAGGTGTAGCCCGTAAGAGTTAACTTGAGACCTGAGCGCCGTTGTGTACTACCTACTACGCCCAGGTCTCAAGTTAACTCTTGCGGGTTATAGTAAAAGTCTCGTTTAGAATGAATGTTTAATCTCCACTAACATAGCTCACAATAATTAATTTAATTTGAAGTTATAGTGGTTTTTAAGTAGGTGAAGAAATGGGGGCGCTAAAAAAGAATTTATTCTCAAAATGGGCAGTAGACAAAATAAGTTTGGGAACCCCTGCTTTAAAGGTTTAAATGTGTTTATCGGCTGAGTGAAGAAAAACTTTCATAGTTTTCTCACAGATGGTGTGGCAAAAAAGTCGTTAAAAATTTAAAAAATAAGTTTCATTACAATTATTAGAATTGTTCACTCTAAAATTAAATTTACTCTCAAAAAAAATTCAAATAATTTGAGCTACGCTTTTGTTAGCTGATAAAATGACATGCCACAAAGGAAAACTTATCAATCTGCACTTTGGCAATTACCCTAGTCGTTGGTTTCTTTATTTGCTGATAATGCGAAGCGTAGTGAAAATTATGTCCTTGGCTACATCTGCCTCGGTGGCGGAACGGTTACCATGCCTGACTGCCACGTAGAGGTCCCAGGTTCGTGCGCCAGGCCGGGGGAAATATTTGTATGGCCTACATTTACTTCTCTCGTAAGTATGGGTGTAATTTGTTGTTGTCTGTGTGTGTGTCCATGGCACCCGCGACACAGGGTTTCCATAGTGCTAGGCTATGTTGAGTGTGTGCGTTATTATTATTATTATCTGTGGCTATGTGTCTGCAAGATTTATACTTCTTGCAAACACTTTTAACACTTAATGTTTACACGGAAAAAACCACAACATTATGGTTACTCTGGTCTCACAGACTTTTTGACTGTTTCGAGTTCTACGCATAGAACTCGAAACAAACTTCCACATTGAAACCTAACTGACGACAACGTCTACACTTGATCTAAAGTTTCTAAAGTTAAAGTGGGAATATTGTTTTGTAATAAAGTAATCCTAGTTAACAAATGTCTAATGAATAGAAATACGAATAGATTGTTCGGTTCAGGTCGACGAGTGAAGGCGGCACGGAACAGCCGCAACTGGTGCTGCTCTACTTCATGGCCCAGCTGCTATTGCGCGAGCTCGCCAAGTGCCATCGGCTCGTCCAGCTTGTCCCCATGGACATGACCTCGTACTACGGTAATATTACACCTATATTATTTTTTCTAGCAGCATTTAAAAAAAATTTTGGTACCCACCCCATTCAGATTCCGCAATTTCTCGGTACTGAAGAAGGATTTATATCATAGTTTCCCAAAGTGGTCCGCCCAGAAGTGGGCGCTGAAGAGCCCTAGAGGAAGTAGGGTTCTCGGAAGCAATTGTGGGGCGTTGATGCTGTCCAGGGGGTGCTACCGCATTTGAAAAAAAACCTGAATTATCTATATCGACACTGGAAATGTAAAACGTCTAACGTACATTTGGAAAATATTGCAGGAGAGCGATTAACAAAAAATTTTTAGATTAAGATATTAAATAATAGCTGCCTCCGTAGGCGAACGGTTACCATGCTGGACTGAAACGCAGAGGTCCCGAGCTCGATTCTCGGACCGGGAGAAATATTTGTATAGCCTACGTTTATTTCTCTCGTGAGTTTGGGTATAGTTTGTTGCTGTCTATGTGTGCGTTCATGACACCCGCAATACACGGTTTCACACGGTTTAGGCTATGAGTGTGTGCGTTTAAAAAGTGTGTGCTTTAAAGATATCTAAGCAACTGAAATATATCTACGTATCTAAAAATATGTTTGTCGCGTTTTTCTCCAAACCGCTATTTTGCAAGTGCTGCATTTACAATTAGCAGGGCAGTATATTCCTTTATCAAATTACTTATGTAGTAGCTTATAGCTTTATTATTTAATAACTTAGGAAAATCAATTCAAAATTTCATCAATAGCCTATTACCAAAATCACAATAGAGTTATGAATAGGGTTTTCAGAGTGTTAATACAAAGGCAGCCACAAACGAGCTCTACTTGGTATACCTGGTTAATATTTCATCCTGGTTCTACAGACCCCACAAAGAATACGAGTTAGTACCTATATTATGTAAGAATCCTAAAATATTCATTTTAATTCACTTTATTAACCCTCAAACTCATTTAGGTTCAAGTACCGCCCAAATTAACTTATTTATTACGTAAGTAAACACGTTAATTTCTGATAGAAACGTGTGGTATAACATTTCGGTAACGTTTTTTCACAAGCTTTTGTCCTAAATGAATGTCTGAATATAAACTCCTGTACAAGTAACAATTGTAATTGGCAATCGTCTAATTCAAGCTGTAGACGGTCCAATTTAAACGCAGTGGGTATTGCAGGTGGCGGTACGAAATGAATGTGAATGTAGCGTCTGTATAATGCAGTCAGCTGTAAACCCTCGACTCTTTGTTCATTAAATTAGAAGAGTGTATACAGAATCATTAACATTTACCCTTAGCTTTAAAATTGCTTCCAATTTGAGCTTGCCAGACGGTAACCCGGGTAACTGAAACCACGTAGCCTTTTCCTGGCTAACCGTAACACCGCACCGAGTGGCCGCAGGTGCGAATTGAGTCTGAATAATAAACAAAGAAGATTTGTTGCAGAGAACCGTGCGGGCCCGTCAAATTTCGGAAATGTGATTAGTCAAATCTTGCTTTGTAAGCAAATCACGCCAGACTTCAACCAGGAAGAGCTGTGCAGCATTGCCAAAGACACGCAGGAGATCACAAGGATAGTCAATGACATTCAAGAGTTTCTACCTCAACACGAGAATCTCAATCATTTAGGTGGGTATTTAATAATCATTATCGTCAGTCCATTACATGTCCCAATTAGATTTAAGCGCCGCATCAACGCGCCGTCGACGCCGACAAATGCAATCGGCGCGCCGCACAGTGGGCCCAAATTGATAATTCTTAACCATAGGAGTAACTTGTATGAGTATCGAGCTAATTTTTTTTATATGGTAGATAATAATATTCCTAACTACTTTTGTTCTTTTTTTTCTTCTTAGTCTTAGCTCATGCATTTTGTTAAAAAAGTACATAAACGAGTTAGCAACTTTGCCGCACCTTTACTTACAAAGCCGCAAGAACATGCAGACTGATTTTTTTCTATATAGAAAGTGATTGGAACTGTATTGTAAGTAAACCACGCACATTACATTTTCATATATTTTGAGATAAAAATATAATATGTATATTTCTCCATACAAAAAAAATATTTTTTTTCTCCGAAACTATCAACGTTTCAAGAAATTATACAAGAATAAAAGTTGTTAAGACTGTTATTGTCTATCATATAAAAAAAATTAGCTCGATACTCCACAAGTATATATCTATGTCCAAGAATTATCAATTTGGGCCTACTGTGCGCCGGCGCCGTTCAGTTCAGTTCGATCAGGTGCTCCGATCGTACGCAGGCGCACGCTTCCGTATAGTGTGTGTATGGGTAGTAAGTCAATGAACACACTGCACCGCTAACGCACTGGACACGGAATCACGCACGCGGTGGCGGAGACGCAGATCTACGCCAACGCGCGGTTTAATCTGCGCGGGGGCAGCGGTCTAGCGGTACCGCGTCACTTAAAGTACTCGCTTCGCAGTTGATCGCCGTAGTGATTGTATATGTAGCCGAGATGCTTCTTTCACAAGAATGGTAATAATACGCAACTCATTCAGGACGCTGCAGTTATGCTGTCTATTTAGTTTTTATTTACTCAAATAAAAAGACACCGAAGATATTGAATACATTCCTTCTTACGAACCAGATCGATAAATGGATAATTTCAACTTCATTTTTTGATTTAAGAAAATATGAAGATAAATTTGGTCGATTTTCAATAGCAAATATAAATTTATCGACGTCGATATCTATTGTAGAAAACTGAACATGTGCATAAGCTTAAAAATCTGCGCGATAATGCGGAGCGCAGTGTGCCATCTGCGGTTCGCCGCGCGGGGGCGCGGCAAAACCGCGCGCACCGAGGTATTTCAGTATAACGTTAAAAAACGCAGCTCCGCGCTCCGTCGCGGGGCGCGGTGCAGTGTGATAATCGCCTAAAATGGCGACTCCAAAAATTTTGTAAAACGAACACCGTTATACAAATATGGTTGGCCTATTATCGGCGCTCATATCTAGTCCTGCCCTGCAGTGGGCACAGGTCTTTTTTTCGTTACACGTTATGTGACATGTATACGTACTCTCATTGACATTAAGAACACTCTGCAGCGAAGTGCGGGAAAAATGCTACCTGTTTGCCTGTACCTATTTAACCACTCCAGGATCCCATTTCTGCGGCTGTCTTCGCTTGAAATACCCCAAGAAGGACCATTATGTTGTTACCATCAGCATATCACCAACCCACTTATACGCCCCATTGCACGGGTCTCCTCGGTGTACGAGGATTTGGGTCATTGTTCACCACGCCAGCGCGCTGGCCCAATGCGGGTTGTGGACTTCACACGTCTTCCGAAGGTTATGAACCTTCTTCGACGTGCAGGTTTCATCACGATGTTCTCCCTCACCGAAAAGCTCATGGTAAACTTCAAAGTAGATTTCAAATTGAAACGCCCCAAATATCTTAAATAAAATGTTAATTAAATTCATTCATTTTCATTGGAAACCCATTCAAACCCATTTTATTAGGACACTAATGGGATAATTACTACCTACCTACACCACTTTATAATTGCAAATGTTTCCGTTGTATAATGTTTTAGCTTTGTATATATTGTTTCAGAGAGCAGCGTCGCTCTGAAAGGCGAAGATGCGATGAACGGCCTGTGGCGAAATAAGAGGAGAGGGTCGCTGTACAAGAGCATGGGCGTGCTGTGTTGTATGTCACGGCCAAACTACCTCTGAGGGTGACGGGCCTCGCCGGCGGCGGCTCGTCGCTCCAGCTAGGCATTAACCCCAACCCACAAATAAAACCTAGTCTGTGAATGGCATTGGCTCTACACTCAAACTGCTTCAAAGTGTTCAGTGTGTACAAGATACGTTTTAAAATTAGCGGACAGAGAAGTGGTGCGTGTATGTACAGAGTAGAAAATGAAAGGGTCCATTAAATTGTTTAATTAGTTGTTCAAACAACTTAGTGAATTCGGATGAAGATGAGCGTTTAATTGCCGTAAATATGTATAATATTAAGACATGGTCATGGTAGATCAATTAAAACTATGTCAAAATAATGAGTATACTTAACGTTAATAATTAACAATATAAATTTTAAATAATAATATGATGAACTTACACATTGTGAATTGCCTGGAATGGGATCAATTGCGATTAAGTAGATTTTTAATGAATCGTAGATGTTTCATTATTTTCGGCACGAGTCCTTTTTGAATTTCTCCACTCATGTAGTTCCACTAGCTATTCTTACAATTTCAACTTACACACGTTTGCCAAATATAGAACTTAAAAATAGTCGCAAAATTTTAATAAAATTTAGATCCTTTGAGAAATATTTACTTATGGACGTATTATTTTCGAGATATCATATGTTTCAGTATGAGAAAAGTCTACATATAAGAATAAATTGTCATCCGTACCTACTGAATATAGTATTTTATTATTAAGCATAAAAAATTGCTATAAGAATTTCACCCAAAATATTGATCACTTTTTCAAAATGGTAAAAACATTTTTAAAAATTGTTAGTCATAATTTTTTTATGATGTGTGTACATTGGCATAAATGTGTTATATTTATTGTCTCTCTAAATATAACACACTTCATGACAATTTATCATTGAGACACTGATTTCATTACCCAGTCTTCCAATGCTAGTCTTTCTTAAAGTTCCTGCTAGATACTCTACTGTTACTTTTGTACCAATTTAGTTTTAATTATTTGCATAGTTTTGAAGTATTTGTTATTATTATTTTTAGATATCTTAACCATTTGTAATGGCCTAGTCAAAAACGTTCAAAGAATAATTGTAAAATTTTGAACATCTGTATTCTAGTCAATTATTGTATTTCCCAAAAATATATTTATCGTAATAGATTATTAATAAATAGATATGAATCGATAAGATCATTATTATATGAATAATTAGTAACTTCAATATTATTGTAAAATTATTAGATATCGTCTTTATAAAAAAGGAAAGTGTTCCCGGGATTAGACTCAATATAATACTTATATTTAATATCTAATAAGAATTAGGATTTTAACGGGTAATTATAGATTTTTAGCTTTGGATTGTGTTACGCCTTTACAGGCATAGATGTTTTGCAATATATATATAATTTATCATAAACCACAATAAGAAGGTATACTGTTATTTTATGCACTGGCGCTACAGCTCCGACGTTAATCGTATATGAGCATATCAAACTTGCCACTTTGGACTTTATCGCAAGCATAATAAAATTGGATTAAAATCCTTAAGTGTCAAGCTGGACGCGCTTTTGACAGGGCATTTACTTACCGTCATCATAAGATGCATAAGCAACGATATTAAAAAAGTATCCGTTTAAAACCAGTACATGATATACAGTACTAAGTTTCTAAAGTATATAACTCTGGAAATATCTCATTTTATTTTTAGGTATAATGGTTTCAGTCTTACCCTTGTTGTACCCATAAAGGTTACATGCCCTTGTGGCACTCCCAAAAATTTTACTTCTTGCACATTGAAATCGTCTATCATCTATAAAGTTAATAGTTTTTTCAAAATGTTTTTATAAATTATGTGTACCAAGTACATTTGCTTCAATAATAGTTTTTGTTTTAATATTATGATATAGTAATATTTAGCGTTCTACGTCAAAAGTACAGCTTAACGTCTAATCTAGTGACATACAAGGTAGTTTTGGACATACAATCCACATAACGCACTAATATATTATTGTATAATCAATGCCTCTTATGTAAGAACCCAAAGTAACTAGTTTATGCTTCACTTTGCATTTAACACAACTGTGGACTGCACATAACTTAGAAAACAGTATTTTTATAGAAAACAATATTGTATATCGGTATATATTCTATCTTAAATTTAAGTTAAAACAAATGTCACTTAATTTGTTCAATATATTTTTAATATTGATCTGAAATGACTATTTCATCTCAAAATTGACAAAATTTAGGCTGAAAGTAGAAATCGGGAAGTATTATAAATAGTTTTATAAAATATTAGATGTGAAATAAAGGAAAATAGACGTTGGTAACAAATAAATAGTCAAGTCACTGTTTAGGTCATTTCGACGTAACATATTTGAGACACCTTGTATTTTATATAGAACAATAGATATCATTGAGGTGTAGTACCTTCACATTATTAGATAGCGCACTATGACACCTAGGCAATGATAAATTATTTATCTCAATTGGTCGAGTTTATCGCAGTAGTTGTCGATATTGTTCTCACACTTAATTATTATGCAATTCTGACATACTTACCTATAAAATTATATTACGCACTAACTAAAGTGATGACTGTGATATACTCATAAAAAAATATGTATAGAAAGAAAATGCATTAGTAAAATATAAAATATATCAAAGAAAGTATATTGCAGTTTTATTACTATATAACAAACAAACGGCGATCCAAATACTTGCCTATACATGCTTACTGCTTATTTGGCATAATGCTTCGTATTCGATGATGAGGGAATGACGGAACAGAGTGTGATAAATTGAAAACCCTATGTTTTACACTGTTTTTATTGTTGTTATTAAAATAAAGAACCTTAATCGTCTCTCTCGTAGATGTCTCCGTGCTGTTTCATGTATGGTATGGCAGTGCGCGAGTTACTGCCGCCACCGCGTCCGCCACGTCCGCCATGTCCAGCTCCTCCATGAGACTGGGGCCGTCTGGGTCTTTCATCTAGCGATGCGTGATTGCGAATGATTTCGATATTCGACTCGTTAGAAAATTACTAATCCTGACATTCAATGACATATTAATAACCTACTAATTTTTGTATTCGAGTGATCCAAATGATCATTAGTTGTTAGTATGGATTGATAAATCCATAGATTCCATAGAGAATTTCTGCCTAGCCCTCTCTGACATAAAATATGGTAAATGTGACGGTTACTGAGATGTTTTGATATGGACATGCTGAATGATCTGGTGGCGTTCCGAATAGTTCCGACATAATAATCATTTGACTCGTGCACCCGACCGAATGGCAAGGGCATTCGGTATCGCTAATCATTCGACTCGAGTCGAATTTACAGTAGTAAATTCGAAGAATTAGGGTTCGACTTAAGCGATTGATTTGCGCATTCGAATGATTAGTATTAGTATCGTTCAACGTCGCGCATCCCTACACTCATCCTCTTCTTTCCCTTACTTACCCTCGGCTGACTCACGGTTCACTCTTCGAATAACCTCATTCTGAAATCCTTTATTACTATTTCGTCTCCTAGCGCCTCTAGCACGGGATGGACGCGCAAACAACAGACTCGATAACCTTCATGCAAAAACAGCAATGTAAGTTCATACATTAACTTCTATGTAATACACAAAATAAAATGGTCACAAAAAACTTACAAATCATTCAACAAATTCACATTCTTACTCTTTTTAATTGCTTCTGAATTAAGTACCACGTATACTTTGGAGTAATCGCTTAAGGAGCCTATATTTAAATCTTCCTTGTTGTCATCGCTCTCAGTGGAGTCGCTGTCGGTGTTATCATATTCATCACTGTTGCTGTTATCGTCTTTGTTGTAGTATAGTAAGTTGTTAACTTCGATTCGTTTTTTTGACCGGCTCTCGGCTCTATTTTGTTCATTTCTCTCCTGAAGCACCTGTTCTAGAACTTGTCGTGCTAGACGCTCCACTCGGGCGGCATTACGACTATCGTCTTTATTGTTCCGGTACTTATCGTCAATAGTTTCTAGAGGTACGATTGAATCTAAGTCCTCCTTCTTAAGCGAACCGAAGCGACCAGAGGATAATGAAGAGTCGTGATCTTCGTTGTAGAGGCTTGGATTTCTTTGCTGGGACTGTTGATCTTTTCGCATTTGTTTTTGTAACGATTGTAACAAATTTTGAATATCTAATCCTGTCATCGGCACTGTGTTGACATGGCTTACTAAAACATCTGTTAATATGGCCACTGCAATGTGTGAATGGTATCTTAATAGTCAAGTTTTCAATATAAATACTATCTAAATCTAAATTTTTAATATAATACCAAGTGACGGGACGAACAAGTCGTGCGCCTGATGGTAAGCGACATGCCTGTCCATTACAGTTGTAGTGCCACTCAAAGCTACAAAACACAAACATCTGAGAGGCACTGCCACTGAGCCCCTGAATCGAAGCGCCCCATAGCTTGACAAGTCTGATGTGCCTGTAATTTCACCAGTACCCTTACCCTTCAAAACTGGAACGCAGTAATGCTTGGCGGCAGAAATAGATAAGGTGGCAGTACTTTCCTGGAAGAACTCTTTCACAAGGAGCTCTACTGCTACTAAATTACATAAAATGCTCAATTTCGGATATTTTAGTTTATAATAATAACATTTGGTGTGGTGCAACGAGCAGATTTCCGCAACTCGACGTCGTGCACCTATTTTGCGAATGGAATAGTAATTATAAGTAGTAATATTAAGTAGTAGTATATAAAAATAAAGAAAAAGAAAACAGTAAAATCGAGCTTACCGGTAAAAAATACCGTGATTTTCAACATTGTGTAAAGTAAAGCAAAATGGTTCCGTGAAAGAAAATCACATCACGGCGATTGCCGTTTGTTTAATGTTATTGTAGCGAATTATATGGCAATTTAGTTTTTAATTTTACGTTATCGCATTGGAACAATTATTAATCCTATTAAACATAGGAACTTAGCAGTAGGAACTGCTAGCTTACGTAAAACTGTTTTGTTATTTAATATTTACGTATTCACAAAAAATATGTATTTCACAAGAACACAAAACAAGAAGCTGCATTTCATTCGTTGTGATGAGTCGGATTCTGAGAAGGCCAGCTTTCACTTAAATATATTATATTCTTTCATTTCCGAGCTGAGGCTGCATTGCAGACATTTCGTACTAAATAAGAAAAACTACGGACATTGTTCACTTGGGAGGATCGTGGGAAACTATGGGGCGCAGTCTCGGCATTGTTTGTACAAACATTTATAAATATAGTGAACTAATTTTACGGTTCTGTGCAAATAGATGTAAACACTTGATTTAGTTTTTTTTATAATGCCAATTTTTTATAATGACGGGACCAACAAGTCGTGCGCCTGATGGTAAGCGACACGCCTATCCACAACAGTTGCAGTGCCACTCAGAGCTTTATACGCATGTCACACCACGAACGAAACTAAGCGAACTTAGATTAGCTCACGTAGCCGGGGCATCTTTTCATACTTCTTTTCACACCGCGAACTAAGCTAACCGAGTTAAACAAAGTGTAGCCTGCGCTTTAAATAGCAAAGATCTTATGGGCACTGCCACTGCGCCCGTCGTCCTGAGATAAAAGTTGACATTTCCCATGTGCCTGAATTACACCAGCACCGTGACCCTTCTAAACCGAAACGTAAAGTTACGGATCTACTTTAAAATTTAATACAATTGCTATAAAAATCTGTCTACAATGCAATATTATATGTATAGCGAATATTTCGCTATATTAATTACCATAAAGAAACAGTAAAAAACGATATAACGTTTACATTTTCAGTACTAAACATAAAATTGCGTGCCACTGTACTCTGTATGTCAATCGACCTGTTAAAACTGTTTCACCTCACACGATTTATCCGCCTGGATTATAATATTTGAAACAATTTCGTGGGTGTGCCTTTTTTCTTCGCACAATAACAAACTAATGGAGATCCCTGACATTTTAACAAAATATTGAGAATAATAGAACTGTTAGGATATTAGCAGGTCTTCTTATACTTGTTGCGTAGTGAAACAAAGGGCGAAGTGGGTTGCGTGTGTGTTTAATAGGTTTAGTAAATTTGTCTTAATCGGTTTGGAACACGGAAACTCGGATGCAATCAATTTTTTTTTTTTGTTAGACTACAAAAGTAAGAGCTAAACGTTAAACGTGGAATACTTCATTAAATTAATTAGAAAATAAGTACTTCTAATTTTCCCCAAACCTTGATTAAATCTTTATGTAGAGTTACGTTAGTGTTTGCGCGCTGCATCCAATTCGTATTTGTTCCGAATCCGAGACTGCACAAATCTAGAAAACTCGGATCTACTTCGGATGTCGCTTATGCACTAAGTCCGATTCGCATCCGAAAAAATACGAATATCGCTTGTACACCTAGAGATAAAATGATCCCTGTGACATTTCTGATCGTCATTTCTCGGATTCGGAACTTATACGATTCGGACGTAGTGCGCAAATGACCTTTTTTTTCATCAGGCTAATTAACAGATAATTCATCATCAACCCATTTTGAATCAAACTGCCGGACACGGGTCTCATCTAAGGAGTGATGTTGCTTGCATCTAAGGGCTGTGAATTGTCTTCGACAACGTGATGATTTTCTTCACCGTTGCTATTAAACATTCATAAATGTACGTAACGTAGAAATTAATTATGAGGCGGCCGCTCTCCCATCGTACCACAGCTCTAGAGGCGCCTTTCCACCGGCGAGGCGAGACGAGACGAGGATTGAAATTTGTATAGCAAAATTTCAACTCTCATCCTAGCGCATCTTCGGTGGAAATGGTCTGGATTGACGAGCTTGGATCTTTGTCCAGAACGGACGTGCCGCGAATTGAGATATTTCTCGATATAAAATTGAACCGTATTCTGCCTACATAGAGTTATTATTATACTTTGATTTCTAGCTAGTACCCGCACGATCTTGCACTAGCTCGCTATGACTATTAATATCAATCGCGAGATTGTGGGGCACGTACGATTTTAGATTAAAAAAAATCTAATGTATTAATAATTATAACAAACTAGTGGAGTAATTTCACAAAAAATAATTGAATATCAATTCAATAAAAATTTAATTAAAAAAAATCTGTTAATTTAAAATGTGTAAGTTGGCTTCTTCTGATTCATATTTAATGATAATTATTTACGGTGCACGTTACTTCAGCCGCGCGTATATCGCTAAACGAACTGAACAGCACTGAATTGTCACTATCAACCACAACCACAGCACGAGCTCACGCGACCTATTAATAGCAATTTTCGGTGGAAATTGGCCGTCGTGCCTCCTCTTGTCTCTACTCGCCATTGGAAAACCACCTTTAAATTTGACGTGTTCTTATATTTAGCTTGTATGTGTGTATGTCTATCGTGAAGAAAAATAGCTAGTAAACACTTTAGGGTAAAAGTTGATATCACTTTTATCCTAATTTTTAATAAAAACCGGTAACAACACGAACTCTTTAATTATTTGTGGTGTGCAAAATGAATAATTCTAAAAGGAACTTCACTACAGTGTGTGTGGCTATACTATATACTACATGATTTTGATTAGGTACCTATTAAACATAGCGCTACAATTTAAACACTATTATAACCATGAACAAATTTAATAACACAGCTATATGGTGCGACAGTTATTTTGTTAATGGTGAAAATCCATTTCTGTTAAAATCTACAAGTATAAACATTATAGGTACGAAGCAACGAATAGAAATAACAGTTATATTATTTTAGCTATTATGTTATGCTTTCTTACCTACTTTACATCAATCTCGTGGGGTATTAAATCTCATGGAGAGCACGTGTTAACAAAAACAAAGCGTTAAGTATACGCGTATTACACTTGATGAATTGTTGCCCGTTACATAATATCTGTTATATCTTGTATGACAATGTACTCGTATAAGCACCTTACCTGTGACATTTCACTACACTCCAAGTTCAGTAAGTGCTGCGACCTTGATGTACCATTTTTGCGTCTTTCATTTTCCATCCTGCGTGTAAATTGTACGTGAAATTGATTAATCGGGCATTATTAATACGGACCTGTTATTATGAATAATGACCAAAAGAATCGGCGAAAAAGAAAAACGTATTAATTAGGCCAGTATGTACCTATTGTCATATGTCCATTTGATAAATGGATGCTTACGATGGCGTAAATTTATCACTGGGGCAGTGTGAATAATTTTCTACTTCTGCCGGGTAATAATCTTTTTTTTTACCCGGAGAAATACGTAACGCATGCCCCGCACCCGAGGGAGACAAGGTTATGTGGTACTCTCCTCTCTAAGAAGAGAGGCCTACCTACTAAAACTCCGAGGGTGTTCCCCAGGCACCTTGTGACGGGGACGCTTCCGCATTTTTCCGGGAACCCACCGGTGTCGTCCGTTAGCACGGACCTTCCCAGAGTTCAAGGTGGGAATAGCTGTTCACCCTATTCTCCTAATCGCAGTGGACTGCTTGGACGACTTGGCAGCCCACTATCTTTACCAGGGTCCCTTTATGTCCGAATGGCAGGATTCCCCAATCCTGACGCCCTAGACGGGGGCGGAAGCAGATGGCCATAAGCCTGTCTTCTTCGCCCCGTTCTCCTCCTGCGGATTGGAGCCGAGAGTGGATCGTCCTGTCGACTGCACTCTGCGGCTTCCTTCTGCGCCATCATTTCCTCGCAGAATGAGGCCACCGCTTCCCATTACACCACGTTTTCCCACCACTGCAGCGAGAGTCAACTAACCTAACATAACCAAAACGCTACAGATCATTTGTTACATTTGTTTTACTGCTTTGATCAGAAAAGGGTGGTCATTATTAATACAGGTCGGCCAATATTCATAGTGGTTTATCGAATTGGCCCTAACATATATTTTATCTAACATTTAACCCTTCAAAATGTCACCCTTTGCATGATCTTAATTTAAATATTTAATTTAGTGTGTGGGTGGGTGGTTGGCGTAGGTTCATTGGAGGTCCCTAGTGAGACCAGCGGGCTCTGGACAGGGACTCCGGAGCCTACATTGCACGGCCTCACTCGTCTGGGGGGCGGGTCGGAGGACAACCGACTCGCCCCTCCGTTGGCGCGGGAGCCCTGGCGTAAGCTAGGGCGGCCGGGCGGCGTCGTGGTGAATGTTCACTGATCCCACGGCGCCGACTCAACCGGCGAGAGGGAAACCCGGGGGGGTTTTAGTGGGGTAGGCCTTCCAGTGTGGAGGGAGAGTCCCCACATAACCCCTGAGTCTCCCTGGGCTCAGGGGTATCCATAAAAATTTCCCCCCCGTCAAAAAAAAAAAAAAAAAGGTTCATTGGAGGTGTCCACACGGTCATAGACCTTACATGTAAAATACACAGCTTTAAAACATATTTTGTATTTAATGCTCTATACTTAAAAACTCAAAGTTGTAAAAAGAAGTAGGTCAAAACTTAAAGCGAATACCGAAAACGAGACCGATTTTCCTTTTCCCATGGCGTCTTCATCGCTCGAGTAAAGCCGTCCAGTGTAAAATTTTTGCGTATCAGAACGATGCCACACGCGCGTCACGCCGTGTCGTCGCAACACAATAATTTCAACGCATGTTGCTTCCTGTGGCGCGCCGTTAAACGCACCGTGTGGCATGTCGTTCCGATTTACATGTAGTACAACGCAGCGTCGCAAGGCAAATTCGTTTCTACGCCAACGCAACGCATCGTGTGTCATCGCTCTTAATTCGTAAGCATGATTATCAAAATAATGATAAGAAGTTGTTGCGTTCACTAAAAATGCTTAAAAATATATTTTTGACGCTAGTTATGAATACCAAAACAATTTTGCCAGGTCAC